GAGAGAATGTGCCATATGAGGAATATGTAAGTAAGAAGCAGTTGTTCTCTTGCCTTGGGAGTCTTTGCTAAGCACAGCTGTGAGCCCACAGGGATTTCTTAGCTGACAACCTATTTTGCAGTTGTTCTCCCGTAGCATGTGCTTACAGTTCATGAGTGATGCTGAGAACTCCCGTTTCATCTGGTGATCTCAAATACTGGAATCGTGGACTAACCTTGCCTCCAGAGTAATGTTCCCAATTTAGTGGCAAAAAATGGCATTGCAGAAAGAAACTGGCTGGTAAGAAGGTGGTGGCTGAGGTGGGAAAGGTGTTCCCATGCTCTTTAGCTTGTCCTATGGCTGTTACTGTCCTGTGCTGTAGAATGATGCTGTGTCTGTGCACAAAGGATGTTATATAGCCTGTTTATGTCTCCAAAGCAGATATTAAACAATTGTCCTGTTTTCCTAGTGAGGTTTAGATTCTTTCTTGTTCAACCCCAACTTTTCCAATGAGGAGACCAGAAATGAGACCATCTGAGGGGCTATGGGTTAAGAGCAAATAAAAAAGCAGAACACACGTGTCTGGTTTTATCCTCTGAGTATCTGAAGGATGATATGGTGCAAAGGTACCAAGTAGCACAAAAATGGAGGGTGGAATTTAGGGTTTGGGGGCACAGAACAAGATGGTCTGTGCTGGTGGCTCCTTCCAGCATGGCAAAGAAAAGTCAGTCTGGCCATGTATGGCTAGAAGGGGGCTCTCTCTGGTATCTGATGTATATGGTGTATATATATACATATGGCACCGCTTTGTAGTTAGTGAGCCTGAGCTGTTTGGCAGAGCTGAGGGGGATTTATTTACATGCAGTTTTATTTTCAGCCTTCTTCCTGTTTTGACACCTCTTGGCAATTTTCCTAAGTGCTTAAAACCGCCTGTTACTGTGAAGCAGGTTTTTAAGCAGCTCCACCTTTAAATTGGGTAACGCTTATTTACTGTTTGACTCCTGGCTCTGACAGCATTCCTTTCTCTGACGGATTTCTGCTAAATGAGTTATTTCCCACACTTGCATCTTCTTTTCCATTTCCCTCCCTTTCTGTGGGTGTCAGTCACAGCTCATGAGGTAAAGGATGCTTTTAGAAGGCAAATGTTGCTCGATACTGTGTGTGATGGAAGGGGCAGAAAGCAGAAGGTGGCTGAGGAGAACCTAGCAGCTTTCAGTGGCTGACTGGCACAGGCAGCTGAATGAGAACTCTATTTCGTTTACCCTCTTGTTTTCCAATAGGAGAGACTGCAATGATAGGCATGTGCCCAAGTAATGGTATCTCTAGGAAGAGGCTTCAGGTTGCCAATGATAAATAGCTCTAATGCAATGGGCTTCTCCATACTTGCAGTCTATACTGCTCATCCACAGGTTTGCTTGTCCCCTGCTCTATCAGTAGACTAGTTTTTATGTAAGGAAAACTGGTTGCATTGCTTGGAGTTGATTTCTCCCCAGAGTGCTATGAGGACTTAATCTTCATGCCAACCTCTTGCTTATTGTGAAATAGCTTATTTTGCACTGCCTGAACTGAATTCCTCTAATCTTAATTCAAAGATGTGTGTTACCTAGCTCAGGCAAAGGTACACACATAGCAAGTCATGTTTGTTAAATGGATGAAATAAAATGAACTGGAGTTCCCAGTGCTGTGTGAGACCTTGCCTCTAAATTGCTTCCTTCTGCCTGCGTAGTTCCAAATGCTAAGTGAAAAACACTGTATATTGACTTCTGGAGCACAGACTGTCTCATCTGAGTCCTGTCTTTGTTCTCAGCTCTTTCTGCTCCTATGAAACACTTAGAAAGTCATTGTCAGGCTCAGAAACATCTTGAGATAAGGCTGGGTCTCTCGGAGCAGCAGACAGGTGACATCCCTGTGCCTGAGAATGAAAGCTGGCTGACATGGAACTTGACCTGCTGTCCCCTTTTGGGCTGATACTGTCTGCCGGTGGCTGAGGTGTACTTAGAATTGTAACTCAAGTGATGCCTGGCTTGTGTTCTTGCCCACAATATCTTTATAGCCTAAGCACCGCTCGAGTGTTGCTTAGCAATGCGTTTCTAGAGTGTTGCATGGACCTGGCATCTTGTAAAGCTTTCTAGGCCTCCAGAAATAAAAACCTGAGCAGAAAGAAAAGCTTTAAACCAGCTCCACAAACCCCAGATTTGAGTTCTTTAAGTTTGGTGGAACAGAGCTTAACCTTCATACTTGAGGTTGGGATGTTTCCAAGCAGAGCGTGGAGAGTAGGGGTGAGGGTGATGCTCCTTTGTATGGTGATGCTGTTGCGATTGAAAGCTTGGAACTGGTGAGTGGCGACCCTGAGAACTCCCCTCTTAGACCTCCTGGTGACAAAGGGCTCTCTTTGTGGGCTGTGAGGCCGGGTCAGAGCAGCGCAGCTACTCCCTTCCTCCTGCTGAGCTGCTGCGGTGTGAGGAGCTGGTTCCATCAGTGAGCTGCCTGGTGTCGGGATGGGCAGCAGAAAACCCTCCAAGAATTGGACCTTGCCTGGATCTGGGTGAGGACAGTGCCTTCTTTCCATCGAAAGGAGTTTTGTCTCTTTAACACTGCTTTGCTGAGCAGAAAACTATTCCAAGCCAAGGAAAACAGGGCTCCTTTGGTAATTGGAAGTTTGCTTCCAAACAATCCATAACAAATGCCATAAAGTACCAATCTATTCAGAGAATTAATTGGAGACACTTAGGGGAAATTAATAATGAATGCTCAAGTGAGAGTTTCCTTTTGAGCTTTGCATCAAGAACACCAAGGCAAAGTAAACAGCAGAGGAATTAGAGTAAAGCAGACAAACTGTGTGGGGAAAATTAGGTATGCAAAGTAGGAAAGTGCATAAATCTGCATGTTATTAATAGGGGGAGAGTTCCTGAAATTATCATATGGGCTGAATATTAAGCGTAATCAACACAAAAACGAAATGGAGAGGTGCTATTTGGGGGAAGATGGTACAGCAAAAGCAACTTTGGATTAGAAACCTCTTAAACATACACCTGTTGTTTTGCCTCCTACAACCCAGGGTTTGTCATAAGGTATTTTTAGCGTAGAAACAAGCAATTCACCTTCTGGCTTATTTCTGTGCATGCTGAAAACGGCTTCTTCAGGCCATGGTATCTCTGCTGCTGGAATTTGAGGTCTGTTTTTCAGGTGTTCAAAGCACTTGGAAGGAGATGATGTGACCAGTGCATTTTACAGAGGATCTCCTCTTAGAATTAGTGATGAACAAAGGACTAGAGGATGTTTTGAAGGTTTTGGGTAAACCTGTGTCTAAATCTGGATGTGTAACACTCACCGCTTCATCCCAGGGCTTGGGTAGTACTGTCAGATGGGGGACACCTGAAGCACAGGCTATAGCCTTCCTATATGCTGCTGTCACCTTGACTGATGTCATTGGGTGTCCTGGAAACGCTGGAGAACATAGTTGGTGACACTAAAATCGGCTGAATCTTAACTGATGGCTCTTAAATGAGTTGTAAAATTGCTCTGTCAGTTGTTAGTGCAGTAAAGTCGTTTGATCTTCATCAGCCTGGCTGAGGAGTTAGCTACAAAAGCACCAGCTTAGGAGCTGTTCCTGCATTTTCTTCTCTTCTTCTTTTCTTCCTCCTTCAGGCACAAAGGTGTTTACTGAAATGCCCAAGGACTTGGATTTATTTCCAACCCATCACTTGGTGATAAACTTCCATTATTCATAAGGTAGCTTCTTCCACTCTCTTTTGCAAATAGTGTTCTTCAGGAGCATGTTATGAGCTATCCAGTAATGAAACTCTCGTGCTCAGAATTACTTGCAGCTTGCTGCTGTTAGGAAGAGTCTGTGAAATTGGTCCTACCTTAATTCTGAAGTTTGGCGAGGGTTTAGCTTTGCCCTCTGGAAATGCAACAGAGGGGTTCTGTGTTACTGCTCATAATACAGGCCATCTAAAACTGGGAGTCATACCAAGGTCTTCCGTGCATCCAGAGCCAAAAGTCTCTCCAGAGTGGCCAGAAAGTTTGGAGAGAGCTGTCTCACCAGTGCTTTTAGTGCTGGGATGCAAAGCTGTGTTGGTTCTCTGTGGCCTGGAGACATGCAATCTGCACGTATCTGAAGCATCTTGAGTCCTGTATTGTCAGCTTGGGGTGGGGGGAAGACGTGGAGTGTTACCTTCAGAGCAACTGGTGTCTGAAAGGATAACATTGGCCTGTAGCTGTTGGAGCTGTAATGACTTTGAAATCATGTTCTAGTTTATATTCTATGATTTTGAGTGTCCTTCTCCTGTGTTGCATTTGAGAGAATACCCTTGAGATGCTGCTGACCAGATCCTTGTTATGCTGTTCTTGATTAACGGCATCATCTCCTTCCCTTGATGTCAATGTATGTTTGTGTTGCACAGCTTGCCAGTCTCAGTGCTGGGGCTGGAATTGTCACAAGGAATGCAATGTAAGTAAGAAGCTATTTAAGGAGCTATAGTGCAGCAAAGCAAACGGCAAATGCCTGCTTCTGTGCTCTCTCATACTGGTATTAAATCCCCACATAGTCTGTGTTTTTTCCAATTAAGTTTGAAGAATCACTTACATTATTCTCAAGCACGGATCTAAAAACTAAACTTGCCAAATACACGGCTTGACTGAACTGTTAAAGGAAAATCTTTGGGGCTTTCTGCATTTCCCTGGAAAAATTGCTCTGGAGAAGTATTATAATGGATGAAACAGGAAATTAATGTGTGGCTGTGTTAGTGTGAAGAGATGAAATTCCTGCTGCCTCACATTTTATTATGAGCTTGAAATATGACAACGTTAAGATGTTAAGGCAAATGACAACAGGATTTCTGAACAGGCTTCAGGGAGGATGGGGAATAGAGATGGGAAAGAATCCAAAAGGGACCTTTCTTATTAGCATCATTCAGTTGTGCACTTGCTCTCCCCTTTTCCAGCCCTCTCTGTCTGGTTCAGAATGGATATCCTGCCTGTTGCTCCATCTTCTCATGGGCATCCAACAGCTGTGGGGAGGCATTCAAAGTGGTGATTATTTATGCAAGGAGAAGTCTCTAATCGGATACCTTGTTGGGCAGCAACTCCTCTTAAAAGAAACGATGGGGACTGCTAATGGAAAGAAATTACAATCCCTTTACAAATCAATCCACTTGAACCACAGCACCTCTGCTAGAATTGTTCTTCCTGGAAAGGCTTTATGTACATCCAACAGGAATGGCAGCACCAGCTGAAGTGAGTCATGTTTGCATGCTTGTGAGAGCTACCTGACATCTCTTGAGTCAAGCTTTCACTAGACCAGCCCTGCTTTGTCTCTACACGCAGCACCAAATTGGCACGAGGTATGATAGTACCTATTCCTACTGAGGTTCCCAAGTGCTTCAGTGTCACTCTAAAATGTAAAACATCATGTGTGAGGACAGGGAGAGGAGACAATGTGTGCAGAAGACATGCTGGAACAAAGACAGGGCCTGGTAAGCAGCTGGCAGTGCTGTCAAGTCATCCCTCTATCAGCATAACTAGTTGCTGGTGACACCCGTGGATAAATGTCCCCCCCGAGGGACTGTGCCTCGCTAGTGGCACCTACCAGCTGGTGGTGTATAACCAAGATGGGAATCCTGACAAACCTCACCCTGTAAGTTCACAGTGAGCTGTAAAACCCCACTGCAGAGATGACTTTCATCTTCTGAGACTCACCTGAATTCCAGGCATGAAGAACAACGCAAAGGCAGAAGTTGAGCTGTCATCATGCTGGCAGCACAGCTTTAAGACACCTCTGAGGCTTTAGAGGCTGTGGACCTGGAACCTCGCTTTACAGTCTTCTGAGGGAATGAAGGAATACTGCCACAGCACAGGCTTATGGAAGAGTGGATGCATAAGAGGTAAAACGTGTTATGTACAGCCTGCTCTAAGGCTTTGTGAGATGAGTGTTGGAAGCTCAAGTGCTCTCTCCATGTGCCTTATTTTTTGACCAGAGGCAGGAAGAAAGAATAAAGTAGGACTTTCCAAGAGTGATGCTTTCCTGCAGTTCCAAGAACTGGGTCATGAGTTGAGTTTCAAGCTTGCACCTGAACATGTGATACAGTCAGAGCTGTACAGCTGCAAGCCTGGCTTTCCCAAGAAAAAAAGCTTGTTTCCACTGTGGAGGATTGTATTTCCTTACATAAAAGATGAGATCCCATGCTACTCGTCTGGGAGATAAATCCTCTCGTGGCTCTGCTTTGACACTGATTGGGTATGGCAAGGCTTAACCTTTCTGTCTTGCCTCCAAAAGTGACTCTTAAATTGTTTGCCTTGGTATTGACTTTGTGGAGGCTCAGTTACAAATGGGCTAAAGAATTTGCACAGTATCAGTGTGTGCTGCTTCTTGCCTTCAAATAGGAGCTTTTTTGCATGCTTTAGCTGGCTAACATGTCTCTTTTATTCTTGAACTAGAGATGTTGCATGTTAGTTGAGCCCTTCAGGCTCCAGCTTGCTTGAGATCTGCCCTCTGGTTTCTCTCTGCTGGGTCTGAAGTAGTTTTTAATTTAGTGTTAGAGGTGAATGGGTCTTTCTGGTTTTGTTAGAATCACGGAATTAGCCAGGTTGGAAAGGACCTTTAGGATCATTGAGTCCAGCCTTTACCCCAGCACTGCCAAAGCCACCACTAATCCATGTCAATGAGGGCCTCATCTGCACAGTTAGGGTTCTGCTTTCTGGCTGTGCCAGAGACCTGTTTACAGTGGGGAGACGCAGCATAAATATGCTGGTTGTGAGCTTCCTTCCTGCTGCAGTGTGGTCCCTTTGGCATGGGATTGCCCCTATGGAAGCAGGTGACCTATTAGCAAGTCCTGCAAGACTGTTTCAGAGCATCTCATCCGGTGTTGTGCCCAAGTCCCTTTGCTGCAATGCTGGAGTGTGTAATGCATCTGTGGGCTGCCTTGCCAGAGGTGGAACAAGGAAACAAAAAGCTTTGAATGTGTTGAGCACACTGCCTCTGTCCCCCTGTGGCCCTACAGCAGCATCTAACGTGTTTGTAGAGAGCTGAGCTGGGGCTTGTTCATTGGTGTCCCTGCTTGATCCCAATGGCTGGTGCGTGCTTGTCAGGTCAGATGGGCCGTGAAAGGAGGCAGAAGTGCTGCCTTTCCTAATGAACTGTCTCAAATGAGTACCAATTACAGCATGAAACCAGCTCCACTCCTGAACCAGCCACATGCTGCTTTAGAGGCTACTACATTACAGACTGCAATGGGGAAAGAGCCATCAGCAGGGAGCAGTTGTAGCACAGTGGCCTTACTCTTGGTCAAGAGGGGGAAGAATGAATGTAGGACCATGAAGAAATGGCATGAGTTCACATTTCCTTGCCAGGACTGGGGTTTATAAGTTCTTGAAAGAAAGCAAGCTCACCCACAGGGAGCTTTTGTTTGATACTTGAGTTGGGTGTGAGGAAGAGGAAAGCAAAGAGGTGGCAGTGTTTGAATGCCTCCTGAAAGCTCCATTTGAGGCAGGAATTTAGCTTGGGTTAAACTTCCCTAGGATGATAACTCCAGCAAGCAGCCCCAGAAGCAAGAAGAGCTACTTGTCCTGATGGGACCTCTTCACAGGAGCGTTTTCCAGACAAGGTTGTATCAGTCACTCTTGCCCTTGCAGCAAGCTGCTAACAAATGCAGCAGGCTATATTAGACCACCAAGGAAGGGAGAACTGTGTGATGTTGGTTGGAGTCTATGTAAAATAACACTAGAAGCTCCCATAAACAACACTCCTAGCTGTTCTATGCACTGCATAAACCTTGGTGCGTGCTGCGTGGTGTCTTTCTACATGGGTGCTAAAGGGATCATAGAATCATAGAACAGCTAGGGTCGGACAGGCCCTTAAGAACATCCAGTTCCAACCCCCCTGCCATGGGCAGGGACTCCTCACACTAAACCAGGTCACCCAAGGTTTTGTCTTGGGTGTGATTCCCCTAAATACTACCGTGTTCCTGTGCCTGAACCAGTTTGAAATGGGAAATTCTCTGGAATACCTCCCACTGCCTGGAAAATTGGGCACTTGAGACTATCTTTGAGTATTTTCCAGTATTAGTATCTTCTGTAGCTCCCTTTACTCCAGTGATCATCTGGGGGGGCGGGGACCCAACCCACAACTAAAGAATTAATACCTGCACGGGGGAAGTAATTGTAAATTCCAGGGCTGAGATTTCCTTTCCTTTGCTAACACATTCCCTCGGAAATAAGGGACTGAGTGACTGCTACCAAAGCAGAATGCAGAGCGTGTGCCTTTAGTCCTAAAGGAATTGATTGTTGGGATGTTTTGTTCTTGGATTGCTCTGTAATTTGCTAATGCTGCGCCATACACTGCGGCTGCAGCAAGGAAATATGATCCCATTCTGCCTGCTTTGGTCTCTCTTCACTGGTTACCAGTTCATTTGCAGTTGATTTGGCAGTTCTTTTAATTTAGATTTGATTCTGGGTGCTTGTATTCTCATTTCTCAGTTGCTCTATTGTTATGCAAAACCACGCATTCATCAGCAAAGGACTTTGCTCTATTCTAGCAGTGGAGAGAAGCAAAAGCCTCCTTCAGGGTGTTCCCTTGACTTCTGTGGGCTGTCTGGAGCCTTCCCTGGAGTCACCCATTCTGAGTGAGGATTTACTCCATGGTTTAGGTGTGACATTGGGGATGGGACATGCTGAAAGCACTCACCAGGGTTTGGCCTACCTGGTTGTGGCATAGGGAAGCAGAAGGAGCGGGAGTGAAACTTTGTGTTCTTGCTTGTCCTTTGTGAAGCTGATCTGCTGTGGTCTTAAGAAATGCAGTCTTCATATGCAAGAACACATCAGCAGCCTTATTCTTCCCCTGAAGAAGGAATGCAAAGGTTAGAGTTCCCTAGGTTTCACTGCTCCATCATGCATTTCATCCTACTAAGGACAGCTTATTCTCTATTAGGTAGGATGCAGAGCTCCCTCCCGAAGTAGGACAGATTGGTTAATTCTCTTTGGGCCCCTTGCTGCTGTTCTTTCCCCAGCCGCTGTGTCCTTTTGGTTATTAATAGTTGTTCTTATTGCCTTAAAAAGAGCTGGGTTTCCATACCTGCTGTGACATTTAAAAGCGATAGCATCCTTCTTCTGAGCTTGTATTGCTCAGGCTTTGGTAGGAGTTTGAACTGTAATTTTCCTGTTCTAATGCATTTGATACTGAAATGGCTTTTGGGCTGGTGGTGCACGTCTTGGTGTTCAAAAGCACAGGCTGAAGAAGGAAATAAACCCCCCTGCTTGGAAAATGACTCTCTTCTCCCTGAATGCAATTAGTTTGCTAGGGCTCTTTCTTAGCTGAGATCCCATGGCCCTAGCTCCCAGACCTGTGTTTTGCTGTTCTTGTCTCCATGTGGAATGTTGAGCTGCAGTTCAGTTTCCTGAAGGGGCTCAATTCTTGCCTTTCCAAGACTGCAATGTCAAGAGGGACTCAGAATATGAAAGCAAGCGATTGGGAACATGAGTCACCATGGCAGCCCAGCCAGGCAGCACTAGTGCTTTGCAAACGGGCACTAGGAGGGGGAACACTTCCCACTTGGTCAAGCATCAGTCCTTTTAACACATCATCTACTTCAGATTTTACAGGAACCTGTGGCAAAGCCAGTGCAGTACCAATACAGGTACTTTTTTAGTAACAAGTACTTGTAAACCACCTGAAAATCAGCTTATTCTTATGTTTGGCATCTTATGCTGCCTTGGCCTTTTGGCTTCTGTTTCCTTAAATACCAGTAGCTATTTCCAGTGCCTTTAAAGGAAGGGGGAGATTTAGTGGACCATAGCCTGGAAGTCCAGAAATCCATCTTCTTGATGCACTGTGGATACTCCATATGATTTCAGACAAGCCCATTTAATTCCCTGTGTCAGTGCCCAGCATGGAAAAGGAGGATAATAGTGGCTTGCCTAAACCTGTAAACCCTGTACCATGCTAGCTATCAAAAGGTTTTCTTAATGTTTTCAGCTCTTAATCTCTTCAAAGATAAGATTGACAGTGCATCCATTCCTGATTTCTCTTGAAATCAGCCATCATTTATTGCTCCAAAGTATAAGAAGTCTGCCTCTTTCTAGCCTGTCAGCAGCCCCTTGGACAGGAGCACTCTGTCCAGCCTGTGTGTGTCTAACTTGTCAGTCTGAGTGATCAAAGACTACTTTTGAACTTGAGGAGGGAAGGTAAGGCTTGGTTTATGTTTTCCTGAGTCAGCAGCAATAGCATTCCGGACCGCTGAGTCTTCCCTAGCTTTCATACCATGCTGTCAATCAAGTCTTCACTTTAGAAAGACCAAAACCTATATGCCAGGCTTTACAGAATGAGCTAGCCCTGAGTCTATGGAGTTCTTTGAAACACAGCGGACTTTGAATTGGATCCAACTTCATCATAATAACTTGAAATGAGGCCAGACTCAGTGTTGGATGGCTCAGGATGGGACTCTTTAATGCTGCTTTGGGCTGGCAGTGCCCAAACCTAAAAACTTGGTGACGAGTATCTTCCAGATCTCAACTTCATACCCCAAACCAGAACTGTTATCCAAGAAATGTGGGAAGTCAAAACTGGTCAGAATGGGAAGTTCTGGACATAAGCAGCTATTTAGGATCCAGATAGGAATCCTTGCTGACGTATTCTGCTAGTGTTCCACATTTCTGTCTGCTTCACGTGGCTCAAAATGGCAAGATTAAAGCAGTAACTTGCTAGATGATCAAACCCTGCTTCACGATTCAAATGACTCAGTAATGGTCAAGGTCCCACTAATGAATTACTCTGCTCTTGTTCAAGCCAACAAAAGAGAGCACAGAAGACTTCTGGACAAGCAGAAAGGCATACTTGAAGAGGGCAGCCTAAAGAGCCAAGCTTGACATGGATCCTGTACCTTGGGCACCACTCACATGCCTGTGAGGTGAGGTTGTGATGTCCTGCTATCCCAGAACAGACAGCCTAGAGTAAAAGCTAATGGGAAACTTGGGATTTAGCCTTTTACCAGCAGATGTGAAGCCAGATGTGTAAAGATTTAGTCACTATTGCTGTGGGCTACTTCAGTACTAGTGACCATTTGCTTAGCAGCAACGTCTCAGTGCTGCTCCCTGAGCTCGTGAAGCCCTATCCTAAAGAGAACATGTGCATGTCACTTGTATCCTGCCTTGTCACCACTGTCAGTGCTGTGTAGATGGCCAAATGTGACGCTTGGAGCTGGGGAAAAGGAAAGGGACAGACGTTCTGTGCTTTCCC